AGCGCTCTTTAAGAGACATCTTGTAGACGTGTGCAATCTATTCACATGGTATCATAACTAAACTATACAGGCCTAAATAATCTTAATTTAATTTAGTAGGCAGATATGGAGATCTTTGGAGAGGTGATGACGCGGATCACCACTAGGAAGCGCTGTGACTACCATCCGAGTCGTCTGTTGAGTAGCCTAATTAAGCAAAAAATTAAGTAGGCTACATTTAATTAGTCTTGGGTTCCATAAACACAATTATGTATTTAATTGATAGGCTCGTCTAATTATTATGTCGCGCAATTTACACCTCCTTTGCTTAACTGTGTAACATCCTGAGAACCATCTTTTGGTAAATTAACGAAGAATAATGTTTTTTGTGTTTGTATAAACGTAATAAGAAATATTAATGTTATAATATTTTTTTTTTTTTACTTGGGGAAATATGTTTTTTTATTATGGCTACAGATTTTGTGTGCCTCCTTTTATCGGATACACCAAGTTTAGGTCTGAGAACCTCTAGTAAAAATCTTATGCTATTGCTGAAATAAACAGTTGTTAAATTAGAGGGACATCCAAATGTGCAGTTGGTAAGTCTACTTCTGGACTAGGATTTCAGAACTTTTGTTTCTATAGAGGGGGCCGAGACAAGCAGCTCTTTTGGACGACAAGGGGAGGGCAACGAAGGCAATTCATTAAGCAGCGGAGTTAACCTGCCTCGCCTTAATTAAAACATCTTCGCTAGTTTACAGTGTGGATACTGGGGTGTCTCTGGGGTGTTGGGTTTCCTGCGCGCAGCAGATGGCCGCGTCGGCCGAAAATAATAGTTGACGCTCCTCCTCCCATGCTTCATTGTCCCAGACCCGAACAACCGTGAGCCCGCGAGCCACCAGGGGATTAGAGCAGGGTGCGTAACAAAGAGATATTAACTATTCAAGGCCCTCACGAACGACCGTGTACATCTACAGAACCTGATTGATACCCCGGCGGATGACACGATTGATTCTCATGATGTCTGAGATTTATTTACTTGGAGCGAGAGATGGCTGGTCCTGAGTTGTCTGAGGGAACTGAAGTCGGCTAGCACTTCTTGACTTACCTCTATCAATAAGCGTTCACTGCATGGCAGATTAATGATTTTTTTTGAAAAATGAAGTTAAGTTTTTAACTCTCTAAAACATATTTACATTTAAAGTTTTTATTTGGTTATTTGAGAAGATATGTCAATATGGCACTGATCTATTAAGTTATTCAAAAATGTGGATATTACACCTTTTCTGTAAAGAACGTGTTTTCATTGTGTAAAAACAAAATTAAAAGGTAAAAACAAAGCTAGGTGGTGTAACTGTCCAGGCAGTATGCTTAAAGCCTAATTAAAAGGCTAAAATTCTTAAAACTAGTTTGCATACTTTATTTGGGCCCTCTTTGAAAAACTTTTGTATGTGCACCAACATTGAAACAAAAGCCATGACTGCTTTTCTTTCTTTCTTTTGTTTTTAATTTTTTTTAATGCACGATTTTTCAGGCCAATAATACCTTTTTCAATAATTTGTTTAAAAAAGAAAACATTCAATTAATTTTCATTTCATTCAATTAAGTTAAAATATTTTTTTATATTGTGATTATATCAAATTGCTTGTTATAAATGGTGTAAAGGTTTTTGGTTTGACGCCCAATATAGCCTACATCTGCTATTTTTGGGGCACTTGGTATCTAACGTTAAGCCACATAAAATCGCACGACGCTAGGTGGCGATAAAAGAATGGTTTCTTCTTCCACGTGACAGTTCAAGTTTTTGACAGCTGTGATACATGTGTGCTTGATCATCAATGAAGTCGTGTCACAGGTCTTTTCTGCTCATTTTCCTCACTTTTCATGGGGATGGATAGAATCAATATGCTGTTAGCACAAGCCACACAGGAGCGCGCTCCCACCCCACGTGCAAGTGCTACACATTCATGTGTCCTTCAGTTTCAAAGAGTGATTAACGGGAGAGAATAGTGGACTGGAAAAATATGTAAATTACTCTCACAAAGGCTTCGAAAAATTGGCGTCATCAACATTGCTCAAATAATATTATTACTATATTTTGAAAATGTTAATCTGTTCAGCGGATTTCCCAGGGGAGGCGAGTAAATTAGTTCTATTTCCGTGCATACCAGCGCGAGGCAACGGGAAGCGACAAGCACCTTCGATTCGCTGATTACAATTAGACAATCTCTGCTCGGGGTCCGTCATGCATTGATAATTTTTGGCATATTAAGCACGTTTTAACAAAAGGTGATAAGTCAGTTTTAATTGAAATAAAAATTATTACTCTAATATAACTTTGAGATATTATTATTAAAATGATTCCATTTTGCCCTATACCTCATAAATGCAGACCAGGGTAAGATTTCTGAAGGGCATTGTAGGTTGTCAAGGCTGAATAAGGTAATTTGAAGGGGAATTGCTTTTTTTCTCTCTCTCCCTCTCTCAATATGAATTGAAGTGAATTAAAAACTCAGAATCAATCGCTTTTACTTTCTGCTTTCTCTGCAGCCAGACCAACAATTGCAGATAATTAGCGCGCGGGAAAGTTTTAATTGCATGATTAGCTGAGCGGGATTAGAGGGGAAATTTGCCTGGTGGGATAGCCTAGTTTCCTAATAAAACACCAAACTATGTGCTTGAGTGAAACACAAACACAGAAAGGAAAATCATTTTACACTTTAATTGGTTCCGTTTGTGGATCAAATGACTTTCAACAATTAATTTACGTTTCACACTCTAATTATCTGTTCATCGACTAATGTGCGAACTCAGTTTTGATAGCTTCAAATGAACTCACATTAAGTTAATTTAGTAATTAAGACCTTCAAAAGTAGTAGGCTATATTGATTTGTTTAATTAAAATGTTTTATTCGAGCCTAATGGTTATTTATGATTATCGTTTAAAAAATGTTGCTTCAAGCTTCAGAGTGAAATGAGAGTTTATGAACAGCCCAGTCCATTCCATCTAAAGTTTGTATGGATTTTAATACGACCCCTTTAACCGCTATAATGGGTTAAGTAAAATTGTTTATTTACTCTGAGTAGAAATGCAGTGCACCATAACCCTGTAGTAAGTGCTTGTTGTTAATTGTTATTACACAGTAGGCTACTTAAATGCATTAAGTCCACTGTGACGTAGACACCTTACTGTATCCCAAAGTCAATGTAGATCCTCAGAAAAACATCCAGGTGGGTTTCGGGTTTCCATAAATTGATTGGGTGGGCTAGGCTATATTCAATTTTGACATGTGTTGATTCTTAATATAAGTTTTTATATAATATCGCCATGAGGCACATTAAAATAGTGAAAGTGTGCGAAAACGCACTGAACCCTGGCCCTTGTGTGGTTTGCGTACTTATGATTATCAAGTTAATTAAAGCCCGCGCATCTGACACAGTCACTCCGCCGGATTAAAAACAACGGGCGCCTTGCAACGCTTCGCAGGGGCCGCGTGTCAAGGGTTGTCTACCCAGGAGCCGCGCGCGTCTAGCGGATAGCGTTTGCTCAGAACCGGAGGGGTGCCCTTTCAAGAAGCGGTTTTCAAAAAGCAAACTACAAGAAGCCAATTATTGAACTTAGATGTCGGGGGAGGACCAGAATGAAACGATTTCCATAATTCCTGAATGCGAAGTGATGAAATGTTTTGGGATAAAGAGTGGAGGAGAGAGATACAAACCAAGTAGCATCAAACGCGCGCTCACGCAGGGACTGTGTGCTTTGAAAGAGACTAGCTCTAGTAGAGAGGCCTTTTTTTCCTTTCTTTTTTCAAAGTGCTGAAATGAAATGAACACATTGAAATGCAGAGAGGCGGCCAGCCAACAGACTGCGGGGTCAAGTGACGAACGGATTATATGCTTCTTCTTAATAATATTAATTAAACAATTTGCATGCTAATAAGGTAACAATTATCGTGCCTCTCTGTTGAAAGATTTAGGTTATTACTACACACCATCCGGGTGCTACTGAGGGTCAGTGCAAGCGAGCGAGTGGTGAGAAATTTCAACTCAAATTAACGTTTTGGCAGCTGGAGAAATTGGATAAATAAAGTGGAATTAATTTTCGGTAATGAAGGAGAGCAGGGAGAGGGAAAGACCCGCATACTACTTTACACATGGACAGGATTGATTACCATCCTGTATTCAGAACCATCTCTCTCTTTCTTTCTCTCTCTCTCTCGCTCGCTTACACACACACACACACACACACACACAAACTTGAACATGTGCTGAACAGCGTTTAATTAAACATTAAACAATTATAGAGGCAGATGAACTACATTATAAATTAAAAAAACTAAGTTTACAGCCATACATTTTTTACATCACATAATCAGGACATAATGAATCACTATTATCATCTTCATTATCATCTAACTGTGCCGAATATACACTCTAACGTGTGATGTGTGCAGTATTACCTAATTTATGATTAATTTATGATATCTTAGGAAATTGTCATTTACACCAATATTGCCTGTATGTGTTACCTTCTTTTAAAATGTATTATTTTATTTGTAAAATGGATTATGACCTTACCACAGTCCCCCTTAGACAAATGATCAGAAGCATAATTGATTATTTGCATGAGGTAAGCCTATGTCAGTTCTTTAACTCTCTATAAGCCAATAATCTAAAAGACAAACACGTGTGTGCTTTCATACAGCTTTCCCCCCTCAGTTATTCTGTCAGACTCACTTTTGTTTCCACCTTCAGAATTTTTTTCATAACACCTGCCATAATCATGGCCACAGTAATCACAACAGTGGAAATGAGTTCGAGGCGCGCTCCCGTGTAGATATTAGAAAAGCTGCGGTGCTTGTAGTTTTAAATTCATCTTGACAGCTCGCAACAGGGTGGGTGATTCTCCGTCCGTTATAGGATCACTCCATTCAAGGAACCATGCCATCACGTAATGGGAGAACATCATTTTACGCACTCAGAGAGAGCAAGACGTTCCTTGAAAGTATGAGGTACTTGACGTTTTCGGTTGTTAGTAGACTATCTGTTATTTTGTAACAGTAAGCTATTGGAACAGAGTAAGTGTGTTTATGTAGTCGCTGTTTGGAATTTAGTCGTGAATCAATCAATTTGCCGGTTTCGCCTCCTCCCCTTTCTCCTCCCTCCCGTCTAGTTGTGATGTCTCATGTCGTGTTGTGACAGCGCTGGTATTGTTTATTGAGGTGGATGTCAGGTATAATTAGCAATCGATATGGAAAACGCTCGTGTCGTGCCTCTGACGTCACCGACGATTAACGTTTCTCATTGGTCGCGAATTCCCTAGCGCGAGAGCTAGTTATTTGGACAAGGGGAGAGTTGATGTTGACAAAGTAGAAAAGAGCGTAAAGCCTGCACGCCTGCCTCGGTCTCCTTATTCCTTAATTAGGATCGCAAAGCATGTGAACGCCGCACGCCCTTTCACGGCTCCTGTATGCGCACTGAGGGAAGAGTTGGAGCTTGTTTTGGCCATAGAGACGCTTCCTTGATTCCGGAGATGCAATGATGGATAGCCGGATCCTCGAGCATCCTCATGCCCAGTTTGGAGGCTCTTTGGGGGGCATGGTTGGAATGGGTTTTCCCTACCACCTCGGTCACCATCATGTTTACGATATCACCGGACACCATATACAGTCAGCGTCCGCTGTTCCTTTTTCTATTGACGGATTACTTAACGGATCATGCTCAGCGTCTGTTGCAAACTCCAACCCATTGCTCGGATCTGGATGTGGTGTTAACGGGGATAGTCAGTATAAACTCAGCGGTAAGAGAATGGTTATCCGCTTCTCCTATTCCAAGTAGAATATAGTAAGCTAAACAGTTAGCCTATATTATCAACAGTTTTGGGGAAATATTTAAGTTACGCGAGTCCTCTCGCTCAGAATATATAATACTTTTCCTTTCTTTTTAAAATGCACACTTTAGACAGCGTTGTTTCATTTGCATGATTTCTGGTAACCTAAACTAGAAATTAGGCCGATTTTACACGGACTGATAATACACTGATAATAATGAAATGTATTATTATCCTCATCATCATAATATTATTTTGGGTTTAAAGGCGTTTGATTCATGTTTTATGAGCTAGCCAATTCAATTTGTAATTATAGACTTTGAAAATCAATAAAAGAGCATATTATGTAGACTAAACGTGTTACAAATGATGAATGAATGATGTGAAATAAAAAACGGCATTTAACATTATTGCATCAGGTTTTATTTGCGTAGGCTGTATATTAAAAATGATTTAAATAGCCTATAGGCCTAATGGTTAATTAGCCTAGTTGCTTCATGTGAAATAATGCATTCTAGTAATTTATTTGACAACCACTATTTTGTTATAAAATTGTAGTTTTTTTAAATAGGCTAATTTCTGTTACCAAAATGTTAGCCTTTGTAGACAATTCTAAGTAGAATAGTGTGTATGTTCATGTTTGCATACGCGTTCTCATATACACTGTGGTCCTAGATGCCGGAGACCCCGACAAGGAAAGCCCTGGTTGTAAACGGAGGCGAACGCGTACAAATTTTACGGGCTGGCAGCTGGAGGAACTAGAGAAAGCGTTCAACGAAAGCCATTATCCGGACGTGTTCATGCGCGAGGCACTCGCGCTACGTCTAGACCTTGTTGAGTCACGTGTTCAGGTAAACGCTGGTTTGTTTTTATGTCATAACAAAATATTTCATTGACCTTTATTACAATGACCTATTTACTATTAACAGACACAGTATTCGCTATAGCAGATCCACTCCACGTTATATATAGCAGCTATGCCATTGGCCTACCTATTTTTTTTTTTTATTTTTTTTTTTTTTTACAATAGGCCTACTAAATGTAGCCTAATTAAAAATGTAAACTTTTAAATGCAAAAAGTTTTAATTATTTTTCCAAATGCATGACAACAGGATAGACTTTTTAAAATAATAGCAAGGTTTAAATGTCTAATGCTCAACCATCATTTCATAAGATCTTATTATATTAGCCTAATTTGGACAACAATTTATTCACAACAGATTTAGCTGCAAATGCATGTAGCCTAATTCTAAACCAGATTATTATAAAAAAATGCGTTAATTTTATTAAGATAAAATGTTGACATTTAGATATCTTAAAATTATTACAAATGTCCTGTTTTATTGACTAATATATTAAACACATTTACTAACATTTGAATTAATAAATTATCAGTTTTACCAATTATTTACTAAATTAAATATAGGCCAGTGGATTGTAATGATAAGCGTTGTTGGACGTGCAGCCTTTGTCTGCATTTTCCCTTTTTGTCGAAATTCGACGCTGGATGAGAAGCAGACTTGTTTGGGGAGTTAAAAGCTAAGCTTTGTATTATTCTTATTCCTCAAGGAAGATTAGCCTTCTTTATCGTTAGGTTTGTGTGCTCACAGATTTGACCGACATTAACATTTCATGTGTATACACAGCTATTGTCATGTATAGCCTCGATGTCTCTATGTTAGTATGCGTCTTAGCCTATGGTGGATGCTAACTGGTGTTATCAGCGCTGAACAGACGGCAGTCGCCATGTGAGGGGTCTGGGTGTGAGGTGCGAGCCTGCTGCTCTCTACCTCTGCTGGGCCAAATCTGTCCTAGCGCTTATACGCGCCTAAATGAACTTTAGGGGAACAGGCCTAAATTAGCCACGCAAGAACCAGGCTTAATTGAAACACTGAGAGTGAGCCATTACATTAAATCAATTGACAATTAAGACAAGCGCATCTGTGGCTAAAGGCATTATGCTAGAAAATATGCTAAAAATAAAGGTTCCAAATGGGTGATTTAGCATCATAGAACCTTTCAGGCAACAGTTTTTAAAAGAACCTTTTTTTTTCCATAGTGTGAAGATAATTCTAAAAAACTCTGAAGAAGCTTTTCTACAATTATAACATTTTGTGGGATGTTTTAAGAGTGTAGATTAAACATTTACTGTTGATGAACCCTGGATGTCAAATAGAAAAAAAGAGTTTTCAGAAATCAAGCGTCTTATTTAATTGAATAAATTAATAGAATAAAAAGACACAATTCTGTGATTTGTAATAACAGGATAATATTGCGATAAAGAAACGAAATATTTGTAGATTTTTGGAGCTTGTCAGATTTTTTCAAGCAATTTCCCTAACAATAATTCTGCCATTCGAGGTTCATTTATATTAATTGAGTCTGCCATATTAGGCTACACGCTTTTGAAACAAACAAAAAGTCTCAACCTTTGCTTTCCAGGTGTGGTTCCAAAACCGGCGAGCGAAATGGCGCAAAAAAGAGAACACGAAGAAAGGGCCCGGTCGACCGGCCCACAACTCTCACCCCACCACCTGCAGCGGGGAACCAATGGACCCAGAGGAGATCGCGCGACGGGAGTTGGAGCGCATAGAAAAGAAGAAGCGAAAACAGGAGCGCAAACTTCTGAAATCCCAGAACAAGCTGTTAGCTGGTGATCTCTTCCACACGCCTGGATCGGACAGCGACAGTGGAGTATCACAGAGCACCGATAGCGAGTCAACTTCACACACCGGGCCTCAGCCTAGCACTCACCGACAGCATACAGAACATATTTGTGACCAACATCCACGCCACCAAAGAGCCAGTACTGTCAACGAGACAGCGGAGCCAATGGACCCCGCGAACGGCCTCACACGCGCCCCCACGCTCCAGAAACTCAACCCATTCAGTGTGGAGAGTTTACTTGCCGAATCAAGTCCCAGGAGAAAAACTATCGTGGATTTTTCTCAGTTACCTCCGCAGCGACCACTGGTTGGTAAAGGCCATTTTCTTCTATATCCCATTACCCAACCGCTGGGTTTCATAGTGCCACAGACAGCGATGAAACCGAGTCAGGATTCAGGACACAACTGTTCCTCAACAGACACCTCAAACCAGAAAAACATCAATCACTTGTGCAAAGACACCGAGCTGCAAAGAGAAAGCAAGAACTCTTCTTCCATCCAGTCTTCAAACACAAGCTCAGAGAAATGTTTTTCAGAATCAAATTCGTTTGAAAACGACTCTGAGTCCATTGTCACAAACTCTAGCCAGAAAGAAAGCGTCTCTCCTAACCTGTCTGAAAATTCTGACTCGAAACCCCGCAGTTCCGCTGACACAAACATAGATGGAGAGGACGTTGACATGGACTGAAATATTGGCGCCTATCAATCCCAAAGCTGATAACGACACGTTTTTCTATACAAGACTGTTTTGATTCATTTTTATACTGTTCAGAAACGGATACTCTTTATTCAGGTGAACTGGCCTATATGTTTCGGCGTAAAATCTTTTTCTTTAAGGAACAAGTTAGCTCACGAGCAGCATACAAGAACAACATATCCTCAAACGTTGTATAAATGATAAAGTATCGAAAATATTTATATATGTAACATTTTGATAAGTAATAAGAAGAATAAGAATAAAATATTGTCAAAGAAAACACCTTGTATTGCCACCTCAGTGCTTGCGGTTATCCTGTCTGTTTTGTTTATCGTTTTGAGAGGCTGCTGTACAGCAAGCTCGTGTTTATTGCTTTAACAAATTCATTCATTCAAAACCTCCAGTTAAAATGGGGTCTCACGCCGCGGGCGGTAGGACTCGGTCAGCTCCTGTGGAGTTTTGATATGAAAGTAATTATTTTCCCGGTGGCGGCTGGGAGGATACGTTTTTTTTTTCTGTTAGCCTGAAGGGTTATTATACATTACCGATTCCAGCGATATGAAATCACACAAACTTCCAACAATAATAGAATTAGCATGAAAGGCTGGCGAGTCAGATTGAAATGGGGAAATAATAGCCCAGGCAGCTGCGAGCGTACGTGTGAGGATGTGTGTGTGTGTGTGTGTGTGCGCGCAAGCCTGGGTGATTCGCGGGGTGGAATTTTCATGAGGCGCGCGGGCCTGTCAGGGCACGCGTAGGCGGCAATATTAAGATAGATGTTCGATGATATCCCTCATTGTTCTGTCGCGTACATTGATGTTCCTGCCTTATCGGCCTATTGATCATTTGTCGCTCTATAAGAACAGCCCCCTCTCTTTCTTCCACACTCTCTCTCTCTCTCTCTCTCTCTCTCTCTCTCTCTCTCACACACACACACACACACACACGTTGTTTTATGGGGACTTTTCATAGACATTATGATTTTTACTGTACAAACTGTAACCCTACCCCTATAGAAAACTTTCCTGCATCTTTACATTTTCAAAAAACAACTCTTAGTAGCTTATGATTTATAAGCTGTTTTCCTCATGGGGACTAAAAAATGTCTCCACAAGGACAAAGATTTCGGATATTGCCATTTTTGTGGGGACGTTTTCCCCCAATAATGGGTTTACCAGGCCACACACAGACCAGTTTACTCTAATAATTTTACATTGGGTCAACTCATGATGGCACATTACTGCATCTGCACTGAAAAATATAACCAGGTAGTATAGGCTTTAAGTGAATTATAGATCAATATGATCAGGGATGTCTGTGTCAAGAAGGAAAAGACGGTCCCAGCATGGGTCTGTGATGGATTTTGGATTCTTAAAGCAAACCTTAAATTATTACATTTCTTAAAAGATTTTCTCATCACACAGTTTAGATTCTGTACAAGTGGGCAGTATTAGGCTATAGCAAATGTGAAACCGCCAGCCCTCCGGTCATCTTCACTGAGCCCCTGTATTTGCAAATAAATTAAAAGTAAACGGAGGGACTGGAGCTTTGCCTTATGAATGACATCTTCTAGCCTTAATAACATTTACATAATTTCTTATTTCGGTTTACTGCTATTTGCACTGCATGAGACCTAGCTTATAGGAAAAAATAATGAGAAGGGATCATCTCTTGGGGGATGTGCTACTTCAGCGAGGAGAAACATAAATGTTTTAGTGTAGTTATGAGTGTACGAAATGAGTATATTTTACAGTGGCATATTTTAAATGAATTGATTGTGAAAGTCTGACACATCCACGCACTCGGGATCCTCCAAGCACGATTAGGCTTGGCATAATAATTTATTAAGACTAACAATGAATTGATTTATACTAAATGAATTGATGATAGGCCTACTACAGGCTCCCCTCACGTCTGGTCAGGCCCCCAGTGCGATCTAGTCTTGTACACGTTATGAACTCGGTTTATAGATTCTGGGAATAAAAAGTTTTCACTTTGAGCCCTGAGACTCATTATAAACGGAGAAGCGAGGAGTGTAAATTGTTTTTACGCTATTATCTGTCCGTAAGCCCCAATTTCTCTTGCTAATTACGAAGGTGTTGCTTGACTCATCGACAGCCGACTGCTGATTTTCAATTTAACTGATCATCATACATTCATTTCTCCGCATGATAAATCTACAAGGCCGCCATGCCCCGGGTACTGAGTGGAGAAACAGCAGCGTGCACGAGAGAGAGAGAGAGAGAGAGAGAGAGAGAGAGAGAGAGAGAGAGAGGGAGGGAGACGGGAGGAGAGAGTGTGGCAGTCAGGGCGAGTTAATGGGGGAAGTGTATGCGCCAATGAGTGCGGATCAGGCAGCTAATTTACCACCTCCCGTAGCCTTCTATCTCCGTATCTCATTTCCTCTTTTCTCCCGGGAGAGATTGCCACCCTAGAGCCGCGTGCACAACGGACAACGGGGATGTCTGTCTTTTTGAAATCCCCACCCATAAGAACCTAAACGTGGATGATGGCCAAAAACATTGTGTTTTGGAATTAGGATATCAAGCTTCAATTATGCTGGTTGAGTTTCTAAATTGCATGTCACATTTTTTATTTGCTAAAAAGGAAAAAAAAAAAAAAAAAAAAAAAAAAAACTGCACAATTAATTATCAACGTCAATTCGTATACACTCTCGCTTAATTCCTGTGGGAAGGATATGCATTGGCGGCAAAAAAGTATAGGCTACTTGACACATGGACTTCTCTCCAAATAAACAAGATATTTTTTGTTGATATTTATGTGAATGTTATACGATTATATTTTAGGTGATTCTATAGCCAATGTAGGCCTATTTCTAGGTTTAGGCTATTTAATGATACACAGATGTGGCATTTAGCTATCATAGACAACATGATGATTGCAAAAATAATGTTATGAAATATAATATATACGTAAAATTTTAGCTAAATATAGAAACTTGAAACGATAAATGAAAATCGGAAATAGGCCTAGGCTATATATAAATCACCACAAAGGCCCACACATTTTTGTTGCATTTCATTTACAGAAGCCAATAATCTGCAACAGAGTCGAATTTATGTGGCTCAAAGCTGACATAGCCCACTGTGCCATAGTGTTCACACCGAATTTGGATCAGACACAAAACCTGCTGCCCTGACGCTGCATGGTCAAATGCTTCCCAAGGCGTCAGTTAGGTGACGCATTGGGAGTGAGAATGGGCTGGACCATGGATACTTTTAGATGAATTTGGGTTCATCTTCTCGAAGTTCAATGCCGATAAATGCTTTAATTTACATACTCAACATCGCCTAGTTACAGTCATAAGTCATGCACTGCAAACTTTTGCTAAATTCACATTTTCATGCGACTAAATTTTCTGAACATTTTTGTTTGCAATAGGCTAATCTCACGGCAATTCGTACGATTTTAGCTAAATCGTAGGCCTACATATTTTACGAGTTGCCCAATTCGTATGAATTTGTTCTAATGACCTGCCCCTAAACCTACATCACTGGGGTTTCGACAAATCGTAGCCTACGAATTATAACCACCTCGTACTCACTCGTTTTTTCCCCCCTCGTACTCACTCGTACGAATGGTCGCGAGCTATAGCCTTGGTATGACAAGACAACGAGCAAGTCAACTGGTTCTTGTCAGTGCAATCCGTAATGTCTTTTGTCTCTCTATATCTCTATATCATTTTTGTTTTATTTCCCCCCCTGAAATAACTGTACGGGAATAGCCTGCCTATACACTGATAAATAGCCTAATGTCAGTAGCTACACCGATATACCGTTCGATACTGATCATTTCGGAAAGAGCTCGAGCGATGTAGCCTAACTGTTTTCGTCATGCTAACTCAGTTTGTTCCGTCTGTTTAGCAACAGGTGAAATTTAAATTTTGTTTTTGGGTGCAGTCCTAAACTGCAAATGCAACTTTCTTAATGTAATATAGAAATAACTCGTTTAATGTGGTTTGTAAGACCCCCAACAATTTGTTTAGAAATCCTTTGAGTGGGGGTGGACCTGAGATGTTACACCGCTTGAGGAAGTAGCGCACAATTTGCTCGGTCGTGTCTTAAGGCCTCAGTAATTTGGTAGATAAATCAAGCACGTTTTGGTCTCAGGTTTAGCCGTTCAAGCTCGTTGATTGATTCGAGACCCGCGGTACTACAGGGTCACTGACAGTCTGGATAAATCAGACCATTTCGGCGGCCGACTAATGAGACCAGATTATTTCAACAGCCCGAAACGAGTGTGAAAAATAAGATCTCCCTCATTCCGAGGTGTCAAATCGATTCAACATCACCGTGCAAATACATAGGCCTGCACACATTTGAGCACGGATGGGTCCTCATTGTTTAATTGGACCTAAAGCACAGGTAGGCAATCATATTAAATTGTAACAATACATCTACAGCCTTCCACTCAATGCAGCAACTGAAGAATGTTGAACCTAATATTTTGAGTTAGCCTAAAGACCTATGCTTTTAACATGCTTTTCTATCTAGTTGACTAATATTAATTAACATTGGGAGAAGGCTATAGGAGAGGTGAATCAGAGAAGCTCATTTTTGTTTGTTCAAGATATCAGGTTTTGAAATTATTCTGCTGAAGCTCTATGCCTTAGCCAAAAAAGGAAAAGTAAAAAGGAATCAATAAAAATCCAATCCAAAAATTAAAAAATAAAATAATAAACACGACTCCAATAAAGGAAGCAGAGTGGAAATGTACGCTTGTATGCTATTTTTTTCACCTGCTGTCAAATACCTTTCTATTTAATATTTCCATATGCTCATTTGTTTATTCAATAAATGCCAGGGTAGAAATAGCCTACAGTACTTTATGTGTGACATCAGGCTAATGGAAAAGGCATACCCTTACTGTCTAACTGTTAAATCAAATGTGACGCATGACAAATATTATTAAAAGTTTGCATGAATTGAAATGTTTGGCTGACGTTCTGATTTAGCTTTAAATCAATTCCATGTCTTGTATAAATCTTAGGGGTTAGGTTAATCAGTAAAAAAAAAAGTGTTAATATCTCGTTGTGTTCAGATTTAGGTTGTTTTTATTTTGTCCTATCCACTCAAATACTATTTGGACAGATGGGACAGCATGATTTTGGGAAAAAATGCTCTGTTTTAAATTGGTGGTTTCCAACTTCTTCATTTGTGCAACCCCAAATCAACAACAAAAAATGTTCATGCACTAGCTTGATTTTGCGAAAATTAAACAACCTTAATCTGAAAATAGACACAT